AAAGATAAAAAAACAAAACTGAAATTTATTAGATAATTATTAATTAAAAAATGTGACCACAAATTAAAAAATTAAAATGGATAAATTTGTCAATAAAATTAAAAAATTCTAATCCATTAGCGGTTTGGTACAAAAAGCTACATAAACTAGCTTTTTCAATCCGCTAGCAATTTGGACCCTAACCGCTGTCCGCTAGTCTCAAACCGCTAAATAAAAATTTTACCAAACACTTTAGTTATAGCGGTTTCGAAATATATAAAATTACCAAACACCTATATTTAGCGGTTTAGGTAAAACCGTTAACCGCTATTCTAAAACCGCTATACCAAACGGGACCTAAATTAATAAAACAGTTGCATAATTTAGAATTAAATGAAATCCAAACCCTAGTTCCTTCTTATTCATAGTTTCTTTAACTTAGAAAACTCTTTAGTTTAATTTTCTTTAGTTGACTTAGTTTTTTAAATAGTTTGGTTTTCCCCATTAATTGGTTAATTCAACTTAGGTTAGATTAATAGGGTCTTGGTAGTGTAGGATAGTCCTCGAGGGAACGATATCTTACTTATCTTATATTGCATAATCGATTAGGTTCACTTGCCTAAAAGTAGTGCGTATTTGGTGCATCAAGTTTTTGGCGCCGTTGCCGGGGACTAGTCATCTACATATTAAGATTAATAATTTGGCCTTAGATTGAATATTTTTTTTTTCTTTTTCTTTCTTGATTAGTTGTTTTTTTTTTTTTTGTTTTTATTCTTTATTTATCTTAGTTTTATTTTTTACTTTTTGATTTTTTTGAGGATATTAGTGCATGACCCGTAGTAGTGGTGGTGATCTTGTTCCATTTGATCCAGAAATTGAGAGAATTTTTAGGGAGTTTTTAAGAGAGCAAAAGCAGAACATCATGGCAGAAGGTGAAGGACAAAATAATGCACGCACTCTTGGTTCATATGCTACCCCATCTCTTGAAGGAATAACATCCAGCATTAGGAGGCCAGCGATTCAAGCCAATAACTTTGAAATCAAACCAGCTATCATTCAAATGATTCAACAAACTATCCAATTCAGTGGTTTGCCTAATGAAAATCCTTATTCGCATATTGCTAGTTTTCTTAAAATTTGCAATACTTTTAAGGCTAATGGTGTTAATAATGATTCTGTTAGGCTTACATTATTTCCATTTTTTTTGCATGATAAAGCCAAGAGTTGGCTTCAATCTTTTCCTGCAGGCCATTTTACCATATGGGATGTTTTGGTAGATAAATTCATAGCTAAATTTTTTCCTCCTTCGAAAACAGCTAAGTTGAGAAATAACATTACTACTTTTGTTCAATTTGATAATGAGTCATTATATGAGGCATGGGAAAGATTTAAGGAATTGGTTAGGCAATGTCCAAATCATGGTTTACCTGTTTGGCTCCAAGTGCAGACTTTTTATAATGGTATGACTCCTCCTAATCGTTCTATAATTGATGCAGCTGCAGGGGGTAATCTTATGAATAAGACAAAGGAGGATGGTTATAAGCTGTTAGATGAAATGACCTCTAATAGCTATCAATGGACTAATCATAGAGCTACCAAAAAGGAAGTTGGTTTACATAATGTTGATGCTTTTACTTCTTTATCTGCTCAAATTTCTGCTTTGAATAAAAAGTTAGATAATTTAGGAGCGTCAGCAATGAGTATTTCATCTAATAGTTGCTGTCAACTGTGTGGGCAATTTGGTCATGCTAGTGTTGAATGTCAAGTAGGCAATTCAGTTCAATCTTCTAATGAGCAAGCTAATTTTGTTTCTTCTGGTGGTAGGTCTAAGGGCCTGTTTGGTACAGCGGTTAAAATTCAGCGGATAGCGGATAACAGGTAACGGATAGCGGATAGAGATAGCAGGTAGCAGGTGGCGGTTAGCGGATAGCGGATGGCGGATAGCAGAGAGTGGGTAGCGGATGGTAAATAACGGATTCGATAAATATAACTGTTTGGCTATACAATGGTTAGCGGTTGTTATTTAACATTAAATGACTAATAAGGACATGTTTAAAAACAAATAAGTATATTTTTTAAAATATTTTTATTTTTT